TGCTTTTCCTTCCCCTCTCTCAACACTTTAAATATTTCACTCCATTCTCCTCTTGCTTACATGATTTCCGAGGAGAAGTTGGGTATAATTACTATCTTGACTTCTCCATAGGTAAGGTGGTTTTATTCCCCTCTGGGTTCCTTCAGAATTTTCTCTTCATCTTTTGATTTTTTTTTTCTATAGTTTGTCACTTAGGTGGCTAGATGCAGTTTTTCTCTGGGTATTTATCCTGCTTGATGTTTTCTGAGCTTTGTGGATCTGTGATTTGGTGTCTCATATTGAGAGAAATTCTCGGCCATTATCGTTTTAAATATTTCTCCTGTTTCTTTCTCTTCTGCTTCTGGAATTCCCATCACATCTATGTTACATCATTTGCAGTTGTCTCACAGTTCTTGCATACTCTGTATTTTTTTTTCAGTCTTTTTCCCCCTTTTCAGTTTTGGTAATTTCCATGAGATATTCTCAGGCTCAGAGATTTCTTTCCTCAGCAAAATGCAGTTTACTAATAAGCCTGTCAAAGGCATTCTTCATTTTTGTTACAGTGTTTTTAATCTATAGCATTTCTTTTTGGTTCTTTCTTACCATTTCTATCTCTGATTAAACTGCCCATATATAGAGAGCATATATACTAACCTGTGAATGCTGACACACACATCTATTTTTTTGTGTATCTATGAATTCATACCGAAACCCTGGACACTATTTCAGCACCATAGGATTCATTATAATCCACATCTTTTTAAAAATTATTTTTATTTTATTTTTTATATTTTTATTATTTTATTTTAAGTTCTGGCGTACATGTGCAGAATGTGCAGGTTTGTTACATAGGTAAACGTGTGCCATGGTGGTTTGCTGCACCTATCGACTCATCACCTAATTATTAAGCCCAGCATGCATTAGCTGTTTTCCCTGATGTTCTCTCCCACCACCTTCCCCTGACAGGCCCCAGTAAGTGTTGTTCCCCTCCCTGCGTCCATGTGTTTTCATCTTTCAGCTCCCACTTATGAGTGAGAACATGTAGTATTTGATGTTCCTGCATTAATTTGCTGAGGATAATGGCTTCCAGCTCCATCCATGTGACTGCAAAGAACATGATCTCATTCCTTTTTATGGCTGTGTAGTATTCCATGGTATATGTGTATGACATTTTCTTTATCCAGTCTATCATTGATGGGTATTTGGGTTGATTCCATAACTTTGCTATTGTGAATAGTGCTATCTGCATCTTTTTCTTATTTGTAACATTTCTCTGATAGAAGCCTGGCTCTCATTATTTACACCATATTTTCACAGTTCAACCCTATTATACCCATAGTTTACAATTGGTAACACATAACTCTGTCAGAGAAAAATTTACAAACTAGAGTACAGTGTTTACATACAATCATTTTTGTCTTTAGCTTTATAGTAGCCAATCTGAACGGTTGTCCAAAGTTACTTAGGTAATCTCCTTTCTTCACAATCCCACATCCTGGGTGACAGTTTTTATAATTTATATACTGTGAAATTAACTTGGTGGATTCTAATGGTTTTGACAAATGCAGAGTTGTGTATCAACCACCAATTTCTTAGTTCCTCTCCATCCCAAATTCTTTTGTCCTGCTTCTTTGTAGTCAATTGCTCCCACCCCCACCCCCAGCAATCATTTACTATTTTCTGTCCCTATAGTTGTGCGTTTTCCAGAAATTTATATGAATGGAATCATATAACATGTAGTCTTTTGGATCCGGCTTTTCTCACTTATAAAAATACATTTAAGTTTTATGCATGCTGTTGGGTGAATCAACAAATGTCGAAACAACAAAATGTTGTTTGTTCCTTGAACTGGCTTTATATATGGTAGATGTTCACTCATTTACCGGTTGAAAGACATCTGGCTTGTTTCCAGTTTGGGATGATTATAGATAAAGTTCTATAAACATTCATATACACATTTTTGCATAAACCTACATTTTTGCTTCTCTTTGATGAACACCTAGAGGTGAGTTTGCTGGGTCATATGATACATGCGTGTTTATAAGAAACTGTCAAACTGATTTCCAAAGTAGCCGTACCATTTTGCATTCTAATGAACAATGTGTGAGTGGTCCAGTTGTCCCAGACCCTTGCTAGTACGTGGTATTATCAGGTTTGTGTGTGTGGTGGTGATTTTTTAAAGCCTTTTTAGTAGGTATGTAGTGGTATCTTAGTTCAGCTTTTAATTTGAACTTCCATAATAACTATTGACGTTAAGCATCTTTTCATGTGCTTCTTCGCCATCTTTTCTGGGTTGAATTGTGTCTATGAATAGAATCTTATTGGAAAATGGAGTCGTTGCAAAATATCAAGTTAAGCTGAGGTTATCTGGATGGTCCTTAATACAATGTGACCAATGTCGTTATAAAGAGGGGAAATTTGAAAACAGATGCATGCACACAGGGAGGATGCTGTGTGAAGATAAAGGCAGAGCCCCACAACCAGCCCTGCCACCACCTTGATCTTGGGACCTGTGGTCTCTGGAACTGAGAGATAATACATTTCTATTGTTTAAGCCACTCTGTTTGTGTACTTTTCATAGTAGTCTTAGCAAATTAATACATTATCTGTATATCTTTTTTGGTGAAGTGTCTGTTTAGAACTTTTACCTATGTTTTTGTGGTTTGATTTGGTTTTCCTATTGCTTGCTTACTGTCTGTAAGCAACTCCTAGCCACATTTCCTTCTCAGTCATTATAGTTCCATGATGGCTATAATAAAAGAAGTCTTGGCCAGGTGTGGTAGCTTGTGCCTATAATCCCAGCATGTTTGGAGGCCAAGGCAGGTGGATTGCTTGAGGCCAGGAGCTCTAGACCAGCCTGGCCAACATGGCAAAACTCCATCTCTACTAACAGTACGAAAATTAGCCAAGCGTGGTGGCATGCACCTGTAGTCCCAGCTACTTGGGGGGCTGAGGCAGGAGAATCGCTTGAACCCAAGAGGCAGAGGTTGCAGTGAACTGAGATCACACCACTGCACTGCAGCCTGGCCGCCACAGCAAGACTCCATCACAAACAAACAAACAAACAAAAATAAATAAAGAAAAGAAAAAGAAGTCTTAACACAGATATTGATGGGATGGGAAAGTACCCTTGGTCATCCTAGAGAGCATCTATCAAACTGTGTGCTGTGTTTATGAGAAGGCTGGGGAGGGATAGTATGGATGAAAGCCCTGTGTCTGTGATACAGGATGAAAATCTGCAGTTGCATGCAAAAGAGCATTGAATAATAAAGGAAAGAAAGCAAAAGCCTTAACAAAATGAAGGAGTTCTGATGTTTTACTGTACACTGCAACCCTTTCAAAAGCATGTTATCAGCATGTTTTTAAACAGCCTTTTTGAAGTTACTAACTCATGATTGCAAGGTTCACTTTCCTCGACTCCTGAGCTTCCAGAGGTCTCCCCTCCACTTCCTGAGTATCAGGAGGATCCTCTCACACAGCAATTCTCAGAAAAGGCCTTATAGTTTTGTATAAAATCAAGCCTGCAAACGTGAGATATTCAGAAGCTGGGATGTGGGTTTTCCAGCCTCTGAGTGAACATTTCCCTCCTGCCTTGAAGGGCTTTTAAGAAAACTTTCAAAATAGACTTTATTTTATTTTATTTATTATTTTTTTTTTGAGATGGAGTCTCGCTGTGTTGCCTAGGCTGGAGTGCAGTGGCGCGATCTTGGCTCACTGCAAGCTCAGCCTCCCGGGATCACACCATTCTTCCTCAGCTTCCTGAGTAGCTGGGACTACAGGCACCTGCCACCATGCCCGGCTAATTTTTTTTGTGTTTTTAGTAGATATGGGGTTTCACCATGTTGGCCAGGATGGTCTTGATCTGCTGACCTTGTGATCCACCCGCCTCAGCCTCCTAAAGTGCTGGTATTACAGGCACGAACCACCGCGCCTGGCCTGGACTTTATATTTTTAGAGCAGTTTTAGATTCACAGCAAAACACAGTGGAAAACACAGAGTTCCCGTATGCCCCTCCCCCCACACATGCACAGCCTCCCCCCCATCAACACCCCCAGCCAGAGTGGTACGTTTGTTATAGTAGAGGAACTTACATGGACACATTATCACTCAAAGTCCATAGTTTACATTAGGGTTCACTCCTTCTATTGTCTGTACAGTTTTTATTTCTGTACAGCCTTTATTTCTAATATGTCTGTGGTCTTATTTTACACAACAAGTTTTTCCAGAGAGATAGGGTGGAAATGGGATGGGGCTGGGGTAGAAATCTACCAACTTTTCTCTCTGCATTTTCCTCCTTCCTTCATTAGATTTATCCAAATTTGGCATAGTGGAAATTCCTTCTAGAATCCAGCCGTTTGCTAAGTAATATTAGTAGTTTCCAGCCCTGCTAAAATGTTTTTTTGTGTGAGCTCTCACATAGCATTTCAAGAAGACCTAAGAGGAGAATGAATCAGGGATTGCTAGCTGTCCACCAACATAGCTTGGAAGTTCCTTTAACTCTTTCACAGAGATAGAGAGTCCCTCTGTACCTATTTTTATGCTATTCCCATCTTCTCGTTTTTCTTGGCAATTTCCTACTTATCTTCCAAGACTCAGCTCACCTGTCTATCCTCTCCATAGGAAGACTTTCCTGAACTCCTAGGCTGAATGTCTTACATTGTTCTCTGTTTCAATCTCTATTTTCACACCTGTTTACTGAGTGCTAGATTATGGGGAAACACCATTATTCATCTTCAATCCTTATCCCATGGCAAATTGCCTCTGGAAACTCTAGTAGATGTCTTATTAAGGGTGACCTTTGTCCTGGGAGGAGACCACCCCCATTAAATTACAGAGGGATTTGAATATCCAGCATTGGAATATGGGACGGGATGACAGAGTGCTGTAGTGTTCCCTTATTTTTAATTCTGATTATACATTATTGTTTTGTATGTAAAAAGTGAGAACATCTACTTATGTATAGGTTAACCTGGACAGCACTTTATTAAAATGCTCTCTTTAAAAAAAATTAGGTACAGAAATGACTTCTTGAAAATCCATTCCTTTTATTGATTTTATTAATGTTGCATAGAAATATAAAGTTTCACACACCATACTTTTACTAACAAATGTAAATAAGAACAAATTACTTTTGAACAATTAAAATAACCAAATATTGATGATTTTCAATAAAGTATATTTTGAAATAATTTTGAAGCCATGAAAGACTAAAATTCACTTTATGCTAAAATAAATCATATTCTCTCATAATGTAATTATTTATTTTTTTTAAAAAAGGAACCACCCAATAAGAGTTTAATTCATTAGGAAATTTTCAGCATTTCTAAATGCAATAGAGTGTTTCTACTATACTTTCTGGCATCATTCCTTTCCTTAGCACTTATCTTCACACTGGAAGAGGTGAACCAGGTGATTATGCCCCCTGTGGGGGCTGGTTCTGCCTCTGAACAGTGACTTGGCATGGCAATTAGGTTCAAAATTACCTACATTTACCCTAAAGATTTCTTCAGAGCTGTCAGTCTTCCTGAAACTTCCTAAAACTACCCTAGCAAATACTTTTTCCTTTCTGCAAATACTGTTACTCAAACCACTGTATTTACCCCATTCCAAGCTTTCCATTCTCTGTTAACAATTTCTCAGGTGCTCATGAAGTTTTAAAGGACAAGACTCCTCTCAGAAGCACATACTACTCAGAAGCTCAAAGCAAATTAGGTTAGTTTACAATCCTTGCTACAGGCCAGTAAATGAGGATTGAGTAAGTAATTTTCCTCATTTGAAAAGGAGAAAACAAGTACAAAAAGAGATTGAGCGATTTTTTTTTTTAACAATCCTCTACACTTGTACTTTAAGGACTAAAATGTACCATATAGTCTGATGCTCAAAACAAACTCTTTTTGAGAACAGACATCATTTTACAAATAGACACCGAGGCTCAGAGATATGAGTCATTGTCTAAGGTAATACAAGTAGAAATCTATATTATTAGAACTTGAACTCTGGCTGGGTATAGTGGCTCATGCCTGTAATCCCAGTGCTTTGGGAAGCCAAGGCGGGATTCAAGAGTAGCCTGGCCAATATATTGAACAGCCTGGCCAATATAGCAAGAACCTGTCTCTACAAAGTATATTTAAAAAAAAATAGTCATATGTGGTGGCACACCCTTGTAGTCCCAGCTACTTGGGAGGCTGAGGTAGGAGGATGACTTGAGCTCAGGAGGCTGAGGGTGCAGTAAGCAGTGATCACGTCACTGGACTCCAGCATGGGTGACAGTGAGACCCTGTCTCTAAAAATAATGATAATTAGTTAGAACTTGAACTCAAGTCCTTTGATTCCCAGCACACAGAGCCTTTCCTTGCCACACCACAGTGCCTCTTGCTAACCTGAACATGGTGAGGAGCAGTGCAGCAGTCTGTATACCACCAACCAAAACTTGACTCAGTAGATGCTATGTAGATGCACGGAAGTCTGAGTAAAATGAATCCTATTATCTTGGAAGAGGAATTCATGTATCATTTTCAATGTTGTTCTAGATAATCCTGATGTGCTTGATAAATAACAACTGGTATGTGAATAACCATAAAATTGCCATAATTATAAACAGAATTACAAATGATAATAGACTGGGGACAAGTTACTAAGCAATATGTTAAATATTAAAAGAGTTCACATGGGAATGTATATTATTGAACCTTCTGAAATGCATATTAAAGAACGATCTTGATTAAAGTATCAATACAAAATGGTTTTAAGATTCTGAGTTTTTATAATACATTTTCCAATTTTCTTGTTTAAAAATATAAAAAATGATTTATTATATCATAATTTTTTTCACTCCAAAAATTGAGTCTTCTCTTGGAAAAACAATTACTTGCTAGTAGCTTCCTTTTAAGCATATTTTGGTTATTAGAAGGCCTTCACTGTGGGAGAAATCTTGTGAAAGAATTTATGACCTTGGGAATTGGCATTTTCAAAAATGTAACCTGGAAGAGACGAGTAACTTGTTGGGCAAATTTCCTGTTTTTTGGTGTGTACTCTACAGAGTACATAGTCACATCATCAAATGGAACAGAACTCTTAAAAGCAATATTTAAAGATTTGCAACTCTCTGTTGGAATCAATTTGTGTGGCCCATAGTGAGATCTGAAAGTGCTCAAACCATCAAATTTTCCAGATGGGTTGGGAATCTGCTGCTTCTTAATAAGTCCCTGACGACAATTTTCCCATGCTGGAAAATCTTCCTTCATGGTGCTTTTTCCTTCGAAAGGAAAATTGTTACTTCTTCTATGAGAAACTGGCCTGATGGGAACTACATGGTTGGTCTGATATGGAACATAGTCAAGATGGCTTGTGCTGTTTAATAGATGTTACCTGTAGGAGGCACATACTCTGGTACTTTCTTGACCTCAGATGGTGGGATTTCCCATGGTTGAAAACATTCACGGAATTCAGTGCTTCCTTCAAACCAAGCATTCTGGGTCACTCTGGTGTGTACAGGTCTGCAGATTTTTGCAGTTTCACCAATAAGACCCTGAAAGTCATACCGGTGAGCTGTGAGATCCTCAAAGCATTGGTCAGTTGGTTTGCAAACTTCTTTTGGCCTTTCAAACTTGAGTTCAAGCTGATGAGGTATATAATCAAGGCAATGACTTGTAATGCCATTAAAAGGGGCTGTAGAACGTTTGACCACAGAGGAGGGTTTAAAGAAAGATTTGCCTAGGCTTTATCTCTTGAGGAACAAAGTCATCCTGAAATGTAGCTGAATTTCCAAATTTCACAGTAGGGGGTTGATAAGTTTGTTCTGGCTTATAAAGTTCACTTTTATGAAGGTCATAAGCTCTATAATCATCTTGAAAATTAAAACAAAGTAAAAACATTTTTAAACGCTGAAGAAAACAACCATCTTCTAAAAATCATAACTGATTTCTCTCATTGCCAAACATCTTTCCATTTCCTTTGGAAATCTAAACGATAGTATCAGAATACAGTTTCTCTGATTCCTTTCAGATTTGTTCTTTTTCTTCATTTTCACCTTCCTCTACCCATCTCCTCACTTTAATAGATATAATTTTCCACTTTCAAATTCATCTGATTACATAACAAAGGAAAAGCATATCTGAGCCTGATTGTGGATAGTTCTTGAAAGCCAAAAGGACTGTGTTGTAGGTGAGGACAGAGTTTAGGAGATTATGGTTGTATTCCTAGGAAGTGGTTGGGATTTTAAGTACAACTCACAAAATGCTAAGGTATGTCTAAAATCCAGGGCTTGAAATAAAATCAAGTGCCCTCATGTGTAGACAAAAGTAATACAGATATTACTCCTTGCTTTGGAGAGACTCATCAAAGGAGAGAAAATTTTAATTCTGGTATACTCTAGGAAGCTACAGAAAGAACTCCTTGAGCAAAGATACAGGGTAACTTGTATCTTTGCTCAAGGAGATCTCCCAGAAAGATCTCTGGCTTCAACTTTCCCTCATGAAAAGGACTTTAAGGCATTCCCAAAAGATAGAGGGCCATCTAGAGGCCAGAGGCCTTAACTGAATACCTTCAAAGGTGTTTGAAATTGTAGAATTTGAAGTGACCATCAGAGCAAAGATCTGGAGTTTGGAAGTTAAATAACCTTAAGCCTACTTCCTGCAGTTTACCTAGACTGTGGAGCATTTTGGGTCACTCTGGTGTCTACAGGGTGATGACTTGTAATACCATTACAAGTTGGTAATGGTACACTTCACTAAAACTGAAATGTTTATATTTCAACTAAGGATTATTTGTGTTTTCTATTTCTAGATGAGGAAGATAATAAGCTAGGAAATACCAGAAAATTGACTTCACCGGCCGGGCACGGTGGCTCATGCCTGTAATCCCAGCACTTTGGGAGGCCGAGGTGGGTGGATCATAAGGTCAGGAGTTCTAGATCAGCCTGGCCAACACGGTGAAACCCCATCTCTACTAAAAATACAAAAATTAGCCGGGCGTGGTGGCAGGCTCCTATAATCCCAGCTACTTAGGAGGCTGAGGCAGGAGAATCGCTTGAACCCGGGAGGTGGAGGTTGCAGTGAGCCAAGATCATGCTACTGCAATCCAGCCTGGGCGACAGAGCAAGAATCCGCCTCAAAAAAAAAAAAAAAATTGACTTCACCTCAAAATATGTATTTCTAAATACCAAAAATGAATTTATAAATGACAGAAATTTATTATACAAGATAACATACTAAAATCAGAACTAAAGTCTATGCAGTATTTACAGGAAAGGTCAAACCTTAAAAACTTATTATGTGGATATCTTCTTCAAAGAGATAAAATGTTTATCCATTTCTGCCAAAATGGCCAACTTTTGGACTAAATGATCAAGTTACTGATGTTTGGATGAGAGAGGGCACCTGACTCAAGAATAGGCGACCTTTAGGCCAGCAGAGACCTTGAAGACAAACTGACAGAAAAGATGAGCTAGATCAAGCATTCTTATTCTTGTAAACCTAAAATTGAAAATAATGAGTGAGATAGAAATGAGAGAATTGAAAAGGATGCCAGGAGGTAGTGCTGAAGAGCCATGGAAAGCTGAAGTTACATTCAAAACAGACCTGTAAAGAAACAGAAAAGATAACTAGTCAGAGGCGGCCAGTTAGTAAAGTGGCAATCAGAGCAGATGAGTGAAGTGAAGGTGCTGTGAGAGAAATCATGTAGCTCACTGCGGAGATGAAGGGAAAAGCTCTTCCTTGAAGCTCCCTGGCACCTGATAGTTTTCCATTTTCAGTTCACCTGAAGCTTTACCAGAGTCTTTTTTTTCTTGAGGTACCATGAGGGAATCTCTCTTCTTTGCAAAGTAAAGTATAAAAGTATAACACCATTTTTCACTAGCTAAAAGAAATCACAGATGTTATTAAAGATCAACAGTTCCACACAATCATATAGGGAGAATTCTTGCTACCACAAAAGAGAAAAAAGATTTTCATTGTAAGAGAGTAAACAGAAGACAATATTTTCCCTCACCAAACCAGCTTTGGTTTTCAAAATGGAAGCAAGAATTTGGACACTGAGAGACGGATGTAATAGTGTACAATAGTATGAATGTCAGTTCTAGCTAATTGCAGAAAATTGATTTTCTCCCCATAAATATGCCTATGCTCATATGCCTGGAATACTTATTATCTGTTCTGGAATATTTATTGATAACATTCTAGGAATACCTTTAAAACACCATAATCTTTATCATGTGTTTTTAATGTTTCATGATACTTAAGGAAAAAACAAACATTTAGTAATTTGCTGTTTAATTTCCAAATATTTGGGGATTTTTCTACATTTTTTTTGTATTATTGATGTCTAATTTAATTCTGTTATGATCAAAAACACACATTGCATGATTTCAATTCTTTTATATTTGTTAAGGTTTGTTTTATGACTCCAAATATAGTTTATCTGGATGAAGCTTTCATGTGCATTTGAAAAGAATGTGTATTCTGTTACTGTTGGCAGAAGTGCTTTACAAATGTCAATTTGGACAAATTGTTGATAGTGTTGTTCAGGTCTTTATATTCTTACTTATTACCTGTCTATGTTCTACAGATTACTTAAAGAGAGTGTTGAAATCTCCAACTACAAATGCATATTTTTACATTTCTTATGTTAATACTATAAGTGTTTGCTGCTTTGTATATTTGAAGCTTAGAATCTTGTGTTTGGGAAGTGGAAGGTGGGTGTGTGGTGGTTTCTCTGTTGTCTCAGTCCAGCTTCAGTCTTAGGCAGGCCCTGTGCCCCTGGGTCTCAGAAGCACAGCTCTCTCAGTGCACCTGCCCCTTCACTTAATGTAGTAGGTCTCTAATTGTTGGTCTCAAGACAGTTTCCTGTTCTTTCTTCATTTTCAAGGTTCAGTTTTATTTTGCTCCTTGCTGTTGTTTTTCTTTATCTTTCATCAAGTTGCAATACATCTTCACCTATTCATTGGGGCTGTCACAGTGATGCCTCTCCTGCAGTGGATATTTATCCTTTTTTGTTCTGTAGGTTAGAGGCATCCAAATGGAGCTTCCTGCTTTTTTTTTTTTTTTCTTTGTAACAACAACCATTCTTCTCTCCATACCTGCACTATGAAGAAAACTTTCTGTGGTCTCCAGCCTTTCTCCCAATCTTTCTGATGATCACACAGTGAACATCTATAGGGAACAGTCTATGAGTCGTTTTGAACTGCCCCTTTAGTGTCTGAAGTTCTCAGAGCTTCTATGCTCTCACAGTAGCTCACACTCAAGTCTTTAGCAATTAAATATGTAAATTAATTATTTTTATACACTTGTGTAACAGCTAGTCTTCATTCCATGCCCAGCTTTGGGTGAAACAGTGCTTGAATCCTGTCTCAACTGGGTGGAAGTTGTTTTTCGTTAAATGTCAGGCTAATTGGTTAACCTGTGATCTCAGCTTTCTAAAGGATTCATACACATTTATGATTTCATAAATTAGCTGGCTTTTTCTTATTCTTATGTTGGGAATATACTCTTTCTGGCATTCTGCATCCTACACAGAATCTGAAAATTCTGGATTTCTTTAAGGCGAGGTTTAAAATTACACCTTGAATTCTACAAATTCAATTTCCTTTACAGATAAGGGCTATTTTGACTTTTTATTTCTTCTTGAGTTACTTTTGTTAAATTGTATTTTTCAAAAAATTTATCCATTTTATGTAAGTTGTAAATTATTGGCATTTTTAAAAAATAATATCTTTTAACGTGTGAAAAATCAGTCTTTGAGTTTTAATCACAATATTTTGTTCATTTACACTTCATGTAATGATCTAATTGGGCTTAAGTTGACTGTATTGCTATTTGCTTTTGATTTTTCCCTCCTTTGTTCCCATAACCCTTATTTCCCGCCTTCTTTTGTATTAATAAATGGCATTTGTATTATTCCACTTTACTATTAGAATTTTTTCTATATTTTAAAAATAAATAATGAACGTTTGACTTATTATGAGATTTTTCTGGCTCAAACGTAAATGGATATTTTTGCCACTTCTAGCATGGAAGAACCTGTAAGCAATTTAATTCTATTTAAATCCGCTTGCCTTTTGTACTACTGTTCTAACATACTTTACTTTTATATTTGTGTAAAAACATAGTAATTTTAAGTTGTCAATATTATTTTATATTTACCCACATATTTACCCTGTGTGCTTCATCCATTCCTGCATTTCATGCTTCTCTCTGGAATAAGTTTCCTTTTAACTGAAGAATGTCCTTTAATACTTTCTGTAGTAGGTATCTCAGCTTTTTCTTTTTTTGTCTGAAAACATTTTTACTTGGCTTTAACTTTTCAAGGCTATTTTTACTAGATATACCATTCTCAGGTTTGCTGGCTTTAAAATTCTAGACCCTTCTCGCACCTTTAGCACTTTTAAAGTGTCATATCATTGTCATTTAACTTCCATAGTTTGTGTTGAAAAGTCACGTATCATTCTGTTTAAAAGTCAGATATAACTTTTTCTTTTTGTAGATAATGAATAGTTTTTCACTTGCTACTTTTAAGAATTTATATTTACTTCATTTTCAGAAGTTTGACAATAGTTGTCTAGGATGGTTTCCTATGTGTTTATTTTGGAGTTTGCTGAGCTTCTTGAATCTGTGGGCTGATTCTTTCAATTTTGGAAAAGTCTTGACCATTATCTCTTCAAATATCTCCTGATTCTTCATAGGCCTCATAACATTTTACTATGTGCTGAATGTTGTGTATAAGAGAATCATAAAAACTAAAATCAATGTTATTTTCAACTGGAGACAGTTCACTCTTTCCTATGTTAGAATATGGGGGAGATCACCTCATTCTTACCAGAATCTGAGCTAGATCAGTGCTCAATGGCACCTT